GCCATCCGGATACTACCTAACTCTGAAAACCCGTCCAACTAGTGATGCTCGCTCCGTAAATAGCCTCCACGCTTGCTTGGCTAGCATAGCGATATTGAAAGCCTGAATTCTCCGAAACCCCATGCCCCCAAACTTTTTAGGTTTGCACATGAATTCCCAGTCCCTCCAGCGAATACTTTTACCAGTCTTCCCCAACCACCAGTAACTATTCATAAGCACCTCCTCCTCCTCCTCCCCCCCCTCCTCCCTCCCCCCCCCCCTCCTCCTCCTCCTCCTCCCTCCCCCCTCCTCCTCCTCCTCCTCCTCCTCCTTCTATTTTTAACAGCATTATGAAAGTAGCGAGTGTTTAAATCGCCCCCTCTAAACCAGAATTCTTTGGCTCTTTGCATCCAAAACTGGTTTTCTTTTTCAAGCAAAGAAAGATACTCGCCTTTCACCCTCCCAAACTCAGCTAAGCTGCAGGGATCAGAACATCTTCTTAAGAAATTCAATCTCTTCCTGCAGAAGGAAATACGCTTACCATAGGCTCCAATCCTCCCACTACCCCCAATTTTTAACAACATTATTAAAGTAGCGAGTGTTTAAATCGCCCCCTCTAAACCAGAATTCTTTGGCTCTTTGCATCCAAAACTGGTTTTCTTTTTCAAGCAAAGAAAGATACTCGCCTTTCACCCTCCCAAACTCAGCTAAGCTGCAGGGATCAGAACATCTTCTTAAGAAATTCAATCTCTTCCTGCAGAAGGAAATACGCTTACCATAGGCTCCAATCCTCCCACTACCCCAATCCTCCACAACTCTGCCACACATTGTAATCTGCTCCACTACTCCACAGCCACGCCCCATGTCCCATCCCCTCTCCATTACCTCCCGATAGTCATCTTCTCGTAGCCATACATTCTCAAACTTGAAGCGCCGCCTTTTATTTACTCCCCCTAGTTGGGAACAAACGTATAAACAAGGCCAAGTGGTCACTCGGTGACCCTTCTAACGATTCTGTAACACCGTCCCCAAATGTATTTACTTTTAAAGTGAATAATGTATTGAACCCTGTGGAATGGTAAATAAGTATATGAAGTTGTGAAGCTTTATAAATTCTTTTGCGTGAATAGTAAATTCGCACGTGGGGCCCACACCGGGAGCGGGGGGCCGCCCGAAATTTCTGGAACCATATATTTTATTTATATTGGTCAAGATAATGTTTATATGGTAGTGGATAATTTATTTGGTCCATGGAAAGGCCAGAGTTGATCGATTGGCCAATTGAGGCCCAAATACCTGTATCGGTAACTTAACAGATAGCAGCCCGAAATGAATTTCGGAGGCTTATAAATTAAAGTTGGGAAATGTATATTCATTATAAGGGTCATAATGATTGAGAACGCATAATATATTTTATTTGACCCGATAAAATAAAATATATTTAAAACAGTCAAAGAAATACAACTTTCGGGACCGATTGTACACGTCGGGACACAAAGGGATGACCTCCCACATGAGTGGGGGCCACCCCACGTTTTTTGGGGCTGAACAAACAAAAAGAGTGCTGGGTTGACAAAGGAATGAGTGGAGGAGGTGCAAAGGGACCCTTTGACCTCACTCATTTGTCAAATGAGACAAAGAGGAACCCCTACCCCCCTTTCCTTTGCATTATTCGGCCAACCCACCAAGAGAGGAGAAAGAAGAAGCCCCCAACCCATTCTCCATTGTTACAGCTGAGCTCAAGAAGAAGGACTCCAAAAGAAAGGGTGTTAAGAAGGAAAAAGTTGGGAGAAAGTGAGAAAAATTAAGGTAATGACCTTATAATAACTTTTCCTTTATTTTTCTCCTACCATATGAGATATATATCATATGGAGAACCCTTGAGGTTGTTCTACTTGCTAAGGGTGTGGAATAAGGGGTTGGAGAGTGGTTCTATGTCCAAAAGCGGACTTAGAAGCCAAACCGACAAGTTCACCGGAAAATAACCTTTTAGGGGTTATTTGTATTAATTAAGGTTTTATGTTGTTAAAACCTTGTTAGGAACTTGATTAAAGTATTTTTGAGCTTCGCCGGAGTTTCGCCGGAGTTGGTCAAAGTTCGCCGGAGTTGGTCAAAGTTCGCCGGAATTAGCCAAGGTGCAACCGAGAAGCGTAGGACGCGCTTAAGCTCATTTGAGGTGAGGATGACCGACTATATTGCTTATAATTATTGGGTTAATTTCATGAGATTACCTAAATGAATTAAATGCGTTTGGCATGGTTTATAAATGATAAAAAGTGCCTAAATGAAATTAATATTGTTTATAAGTGAAAGTGCATAAAATACAAATTATGAATAAATTGTGTATGATTATGTGTTATGAATAAAATGGCATGATAAATGTATTATCCATGAATGTTCATTGTGATAAATATACTTTTACCTCATGTAAAGAAGTCATGGAAGGATAAAAGTGATATTTTGATATTAAGGCCAAACTATACTTGAATGTGGAATTAAATTGAAATATACGAACTATTATGAATTCGCATTGGACATATTAAGATTAAACGACTAGTATAGAATTACTAGTCGGAAATGATAATTCAATAGTTTTGGGGATAATCCCAAGATATTGGAGCTAAGTAACCTTAAGGGATATTTTTAAGGTGAACTTTATGAACCCAAGTTACATTAGGAGTGGGCCTTAAGGGTTACTCAAATGGATGGAGCCTAGACTAAGAAATTGTTTAGGATTAGATGACGTGACTATGAGCCGAGCTCTAGCACGTGGTGGTATGACTATGAGCCGAGCTCTAGCAAATGTAGTATGACTATGAGCCGAGCTCTAGCAAAATGTAGTATGACTATGAGCCGAGCTCTAGCAAAATGTAGTATGACTATGAGCCGAGCTCTAGCAAAACGTAGTGTGACTATGAGCCGAGCTCTAGCACGAATTAGTATGACTATGAGCCGAGCTCTAGCATGAAGGAACGTGAGTTGATTATAAAATAATAACATCCTAGATTGAGGGTCTTGGAAATTGAAACTTTGATTATACTTAGTATAGTTGTCATTGTACTTGTCAAATGCTTCCAAGTACTGACCTCCCCTTCACGGGGGAGGCCACCTCACAGTTTCAGGTAGAACTTGAAGGTTGCTACCACCGCCGTTGTTTTCGGGAGGATCCAAGGAGAGGAGACGTGGTTCGTGCTTCCTCCGTTTCCATTTTTACAAACTATTTAATTAATGCTCATGGACATTATTTTTAAATATTTATTTGGGGGCTTGTATGCCCATGTTTGCCAAGGTGTGGCATGAACACTTGTATTGAATGTTTCCGCTGCTTTAAATGAATATTTTACATTATGTTTGTTTATGGATGTACTATGTGTGAATGATATTCCAGACGCCTTGTATAGTATGGATGTGTTGGACTGCGGTTGACTATTCGTACTGTACGGCGGGTTGTTGACGTGTCCGGTTAGGTCCTGGACGTGACAGATTCTGCAGGTGTTGCCCCAAAATGATCCAGCCAACTATCCGACACCAAAATTCTGTCTAACTTTTCTTCCACCCAATTCGGAGAGCCTCGCCATCTTTCCCAAGTAAATTGGTAACCCTCAAAGGAGAAATTGCGTAACCCACTTTCCCAAACGGCTTCCCGAAAACCTCTAAGCCTCTAAGCAGCCAAGGTGGGTGAGGAAGTCTACCCTTTTTCTCCGAAGCATAGAGTAAGTCGTTAAAATATCCCATAACCAACCACGGATATTGACACCGTGAGCTCAGATCACGCAGCAAGCTCCAAGAATCTCTTCTTCTATGACGTTCTGGGCACCAATAAAATCCTGTGAATCGCCAAAGGGGACCGTTCACTTCTAATCTCACCCATGCATCAATAAAGTTGCAAGTAGATTCCCGAATGTCAACCTGAATTCCTTCTCCCCACAAGAGAGCAAGCCATCCCCTGTGGCCCATACTATCCACACTAAAACAAGAACACATCCCGATTTTCCTGCGTACCTCTTCAATCTTTGATGTAGTAGAATAAGTTTCCATCAAGAAGACTAAAGTCGGCCTCTTCGAGTGGACCATGTCCACCAACAGCTGACCTGCCAAAGGGTTGCTAAGCCCCCGACAGTTCCAGCTAAGGCAACTCATTGGTCCACGCAGGCCTGAAAACTAAAACCCGCCTCCAACCCGTTTTTTTGGCTGAGTATCACATGAACTGCCTTTCAATACCATGCCTAGAGCACATGCTGCATCATTGGTCTTCCGTTTCTTCTGTGAACAAGATCTTCCACCATTCCCATTTTCCTGCCAAATGGACAAGCTCAATTCCCCTTCCTTGGCTCCTGAACTAGCTGCAATTCCGCTCCCTCCTCCCCATCCAGAACCCACATCAACACCCCTTTCAGAGGATGCATTGTTGTTGCCAGAGACCTCTTTTTCCTTCGATGCTCGTAAAGGATGGCCCTCGTTGTCAACCAGCCACTTACTAACTCTATTGAGTCCCGTTCTTCTCCCTCCTGCCCGTAGCCAACTCCCAAACAGTTTCTGTTGGTCTGCTGAAAATCCCTCAAACCATCTTGGGCAATGACGATCAACGTGTCCTATCAAACCACAAATGAAGCAAAATGTGGGAGACGTTCGTACTTAAGGTCCACCTAGAAAGCATCACAACCTGTTTTTAGCTTCAGTCTACCTTTGAGTGGAATGTTCACGTCCAGACTTACCCTTATACGCATAAACTCCTTCCATCCGCCTTTAAAATTTTTCACATCAACCATAACAAACTGCCCTATGGCATTACCGATGATCACAACCGTATTTTCGTAGAAATATTTAAATGGAATGTTATAAACTTGCAGCCAGAATTTTTCATGTGAGAGGGACACTGCTAGTGGATTCTCTGCAGCTTCAAGACGCTGAAGTATTAATAAATTATTTTCATAAGTCCACAACCCTTTTTGTAAGCTATATTTCAAGTTTATACAAGTATACCTCTTATTGGGTTAATGCGGTTTTCTAAGTTATCTCTACGGGTTTTTTTGGAAGAAGTGGGCTTATATTAATAAGAGAGAACATAAATTGGATACAAACAGACAAAGAGCCCAATGTCTACCGTCCGCCCTTGAACCAGATTTAGAACATGCCACCTCAAATGAAGCAACCAGATTCGCTTATCCTGAATTGGGCTTACCTGAGCCAATGACTGGCAATCTAGACTCCTCATCACCTTACTTATGTTCTAGAGTCTTAAAAAGAATAATAGCAGAAACAAACAAAAAGACATGATGTTCGAAACAAAACATGAAGAAAACAAACCAAGCTAAATACATTTCTTGAACCCTAACACCTCGTTCAACCCTTGGCGGTGTTTCTGGAGGAGGCCGAACCATCGCTACGATTATTGACGCACCAAAGCGTTTCTCCTCCGACTTGGCCGCCTCTTTTTCATCATCATCAATCACCAATACGTCCTCGTTCTTTTGCTTGCCGGTGATCTACTCTTGGAAATTGTCCTTTTGCGTCAGGTCTACCTCAACCCCGTCCAGCCGCGATCCGCCGGCCTTGGCCTTGTCCCTGATCTTCATCATATAGGCGCGGCGGGGCTCTTCCATGAGGAAGGTGCCAACCAAAACCAGTCGAAAGCTTACATCACCGTCGCCCAGAATTCCTCTTTGTCCGCCAAGAACCAAGCCTTCCCCTTTCCCTTCAAACATCCATCGATCACCCACATATTCCAGCGTTCTCAATCGGCAGCCTTCTCCCATCATGTGCGAAGGGAGTTGTCGAAATTTAGCCATGAAATTAAGAAAAAAGCTCGCATGCGCGAGAGAAACAACTCGCATACGCGAGACTGTCGCCTAGGGTTTTTCTTGTTTTCTTAATACGTTTCAAATTTCTCTACGGGGTTAAATAATTGTTATGCTCCTTTCAAATTTTTGAGTTCTATATCTCAATCCATTCTAGGCTGAAGTTATACAAATTGATTTTAATTAAGTGTTTTCCTTTTAAAACAAAAGAACACTCATTAATTAAACTTATCCACAAGCAATAATGGATACAACGAGATTTGGCTCAACTAGTTCTCTAGAAGTGTGTATATATCGTAAATCGATTGCACGGTGTAAAACGTATAGTCGGTGTCGTTTTTTGTAATTTAAGTTGAAAATTGAGACTTTTGTTAATTGAACATCAATACACTCTTATTTAGCATTAGATATATTTGATTGAATATTAGGAGTATAATATTGAGTATCGTGATCTTCACACCATATGTTTTAATTCAATTTCTTTTTCTTATTTTTTATTTTATAAAAGTTTCTTAAATTATATTTGTGACACAAAATAATTAGATTATCTAACATTCAGTGTTTTAAAATATTTTCAAGTTATTTTATGTGGTTTCTTCCTAGCAATGTCTAGGGTTTGTGTATCCCTCGCCGGTGGTATCGATCGGGCGTTGAAATTTTATTGTGGTGGATGGCAATGCTTATCCTGCTTGATTTGTTTGGGAGGTTAACTTCAGACATCGGCGACTCTAAGACCTCAATTATCCGCCTCCTCCTGAACCACCATCGTGCTATGATAGCAAGATAACGTTCGATTGGATCTTCTTTTTGGGGGCTGGTCAAACCGATGATATTTTCAATTTCTTCCCAGTTGTTGGTCAAACTGAGGATTCTATTTGTTTCTTTCTGATGGCTGGACAAACCAAATTTTCTATTATTTCATTGTCAGTGGAAAGTGGATGGTGAAACCGATCTATATGTTTGTTTTCTGTCGCAGATTAGTACATTTTCTAATTGTGTGCGGGGTTAACGAATTGTTATGTTCCTATGGAACTATTCAATTTTATTTCTCATGCCATTGTAGCCTTAGGCAGAATTACTTTTGTACTGATCAAATTTATTATTAATATATAGTCCTTTTTCTTTCAAAAAAAAATTATACTACCTCCGTCCCATTTTAATTGGTCATCTTTGACTTTTCCAGTCAAATATGGTAAACTTTGACCAATTGTTTTATCCTCTGTTCTAAAAATCGTTCTAGGCGCCCGACTAGTCCCCGCCTAGGCGCTAGGCGGTGGTCGGACGCCCCCATTTTCGTCTAGGCGCTCCGACTAATTGGTTTACTGTCTAGGTGAATTAGTCGGCCGCCTATGGCGCCTAGTTGCCCGCCTAGAGCGCCTAATCGGCCGCCTAGACCGTCTAGATTCGCTGAACAATACTTCACTTTTTAATTTTAATTTTCTAACCTATATACGTACTTTAACTTTAGCCATGAATATAAAGAAATGAAGTTGTAAATTAAGATAGAACTATATAGTTTGGATATATACCTAGTTTTATCATTATTTATATTTATAACATAATGAAGTTAAATGATTAGTTATCATATACTACGTATGATTAAATGTGATAATTCTATCATTCATGTTTGTTAATGTGTGTATATATATGTATTTTGTACACACAAAAATACAAAATTACTTATCATATTTATGCAAAAATATAGATAAAAATGCAATTTTTATGTCTCCGACTAATCCCCGACTAGGCGCCCGCCTAGCCGCCTAGGCGCTAGGCGCTTGGCTGGCGCCCGACTAGCGCCTAGCGCCTTTTAGAACATTGGTTTTATCTAACATATTTATGCAAAGTTTAATAATTTTATACTTTTATGGTAGTATTTTTAACAAAAAACATTTTCACATCATTTCCATATTATCATTACTTCTGTATATAAATATATAATCGGTCAAAGTTAGACAACATTGACTTTAAAAGTCAAGTTTGGCTAACTAAAATGGGACGAAGAGAGTATCTATAATCAACTCTTATGGATTCCAATATGTGAATCCAATTAAATATTATACTTTTGAAATATACACTGATATGAAAATCGTAAGCTCTCACGGTTGAGTATCAAGACAATTTCAATTCATTGAGCATCAAGTCTCGTCTGTTAAGTATTAAAAGCCTGAGTATCGTGATCTCTGCTCTCATATCTATAATCAACTCAAGTATCAAATGAGCACACATAATTTATGTAATGAGTATCAAAAAGTTCAAAACCTTATTTGAGTATCAAGACATCAAGACCTTTAATTGAGCATTTCTTCCATGCTATTGAGCATTGTGACTCCGGTATTGAAATATCTAGTGTGCTCAATTTTTAGGTCATACAAATGCTCATTTTACTGCTTAAGCCTTAAAGTATGGTCATTTTTCTAAATTGGACTTCACTAACTTTTTGGGTTTCCACTTTATCCCTTATACTCCCTCCGTCCCGCTAAGATCTTCATGCTTTTCTTTTTTAGGCGTCCCAAAATGATCTTCTCATTACTCTAAATGGAAAGTTATCCTACATCAAAACAGTGTCAAATAGTGCAAAACAGTGCCAAACAGTGTCGAAGCAATGTACTCTACAGTAAAGTCAAATTTATTTCCTAAATATGTGTGTAGGTCAAAGTAGGAAGTTCTTAGCGGAACGGGGGTTGTATATCATTTCACTCTTTAATTTTTGTAGATCTTTTTCTCTTGTTCTTATATTTTGGAGATTAGAATGGTAAAACAACCACTTTGTCATTTATTATCTTAAAACTCGCATCAAATCTACATGTTCAATGGTTCATCAGCTTGATATTTTTTCTGGCTATACCACCAATTATTAAGTTGCTTCATAATTGGATTTTTCCTTTTGTCCCATTAAAATGATCTCATTTTTTTCATTTTGGTGAGTCCCATTAAGATTGTTTCATAGTTTGGTAATGTTTGTGTGATTCTATTTTTTTATTCATACTTTATCAACTAAATATTAACCAAGTAAACTCATTTTTAAATAAACACAGGAGATTAATTTATACCAAATTTAGTATGAAGGAGGGAGTAGTTTTTAGAATATTGTTTCAATTATTTAATTTATCAGTTGTTATACCGTGTGAGGGGCTCATGGTGTGCATCATTCTCCCACAGCTAAAACAATGTCATATCATTTAAGTTTTGACAAAAAATGTGGATGAACAGTAAATTCTGGTTTGGCCTCCATATTTTTTATGACGTAAATCTCTTGTACTAAAATGCAAGTCATTTTCTTATAAATGTAATTCCAGTTAGCAGTACATGTAACTCCTGCACTTTAGTGTAACTCACGCTACTCCTTCCTCCCAAATGTTTATTCTCTACCCTTTCATATATGAAATGTAAATTTTAAATCACGTGCATGCAAAATGTAACTTCAAGCAAGTCGAAATATAAATCATGTTAATTGAAATGTAACTTGAGGCAAATTAAAATGTATGTGGCGTTAAAATAAATGTAACATGAAGCAAGTCGAAATATAAATTGTCTAATATAAGATATATAACTTGAAGGAATGTTGCAGATCTTCAATTACGAATATAAATTTTAATTTTAGATATATACAACTTCAGTTTTGAATTGATAAAGAGAGAAATGAAATTGTGATTAGATTATTAATATTTGATGAAGGATAAGAAGATAATTGAATAAGAACAAAAACAATCAGAATTTTAAATATGAAGACAAATGAAAATGTGATTAGATTCTTTATATTTTGATGAAAAAGAATACTCCCTCCGTATATTATTTCAAAATTCTCTGCATTAGGTTTGGGCACAATGTTTAAGAGTGAAATAATAGGGGTAATGAATAGTGTAGAAAAAGTAGGGTTGTAAACGAATCAAATAATTTGTGCTCGATCCACGATTCGAATTCGTATAAGACGATTCGAATCCGGAAAATTCAAATACAAATAAGAATATTAAATTTGATTCGAGTTGTTATCAAATACAAATAAGAATATCAGTGTATTCGATTCGAATATTAATCAAATATATTCGATTAATAATAATGGTAATATTAACATCAATAATAATAATAATAAGTAATAACACTATAATAACTTTTAAAAGATAGCAATACCCTCAAAATGCAGTTCATATATACATTTTTGCATACAGATTCCAATCACATTTGTAATAAATCAGAATATAAATACGAATACAAATCAATTTTTTGGTTCAAATGTCTTTCAAATACAATACAAATAGTTATGTATTTGATTTGAAGAACAAAGTTAGAGTAGTTTGACTTTGATATATACAATTATCAACTTATTTCACACATTATAAATATAATTTCTAATATGTGTGTTGAGTTTATTTCAAAAAGTTTGAAATAGATTTATATTTATTAATCATAAAATTAATTCACTTTAGTATATTGTGCACCATCTAAAAATGCATTGACCCATTAAATTTAAATTTTAAACACACATATTAAGTCATAGCATGCATTTACAACATAAACAATATGGAGTATAAGAAAAATTATTTTAAAGTGATATTTGACTAATATTTAACCTATGTTCAAATCGATTCCATAGTCGTATATGGTTCATTAAATATTCGTATTGTTAAACAAATACAAATACAAATTGAAATTGATATTCGTCTCATATTTGAATTCGAATTCATATTCGAAAAAAATTAAACAAATATAAATACAAAATCTCATTATTCGACTCGATTCCGTTCGTTTACAACCCTAAGAAAAAGTAGGAGAGAAGATGAAAAAATATGAAAGAGAGGATAAAAAGTAGAAAAAGTAAGGGTAATTGGGTATTTTTAAAGAAAAAAACTTAACAAAAAAGGAAAGTGTAGCAAACTTTAAAATATGGAGGGAGTATATTGAGACCGATATAGCATGTGCATAGTCCAATAAGCCTAATTTGAGTTAATTTGTAATTTTTGGAGCATAATTTTGTGGGGTTTTGAGAGGAACTACTCACGCCTATCAAGTATCAACTACTTGCCCATTGATTGTGGATACTGGATAGCATATATATGTTGACCTATTCATTGAACTTTTATCAAACAAAGAATCCAAGTATTGGCTGTTTTTGAAAACAAACGTATATACTGGTACAAGGATATACCCGTTGACTTCCCAATCAGAGCTGACGAATGACGCCG